TATGTATCTGCCATCATTAGGGTTTGTGCTCAGTTGTGTATCAAACTATTACGTAGGCTATACAAGAGGTCAAAACATTATTTGTGCTGGCAATACCGCGGGAGTGTTCAGGAGGTTCAGGTGTTTTTTAAAACATTTCATAGACCCCTTTAGCCTTCTTATGAGCAGATTTCATGTTCCCGTTCGACTGAATCTCCTCCTATTCAATTCATTAGACCGCGTAAAGTAGTCACAATATAACTAACATGAATATGAAATAATCAATCAGCCTGCTTTATATACCTAAAGAATGGTGTATGCTAACTTTATTTTTCCTTAATTTTTGTTTTTATAAACTTTACATTTTTAATTTCTTTTCTACGTCATAAACATCTTGTTTGACCTTACACAAAACCTCACGCAAAGTTCACGATAAAAAGTGACCAATGTTATCGCGTGACTTCATAAGCCCTCATTTCCTGCTCCATACTTAATAAATTGGGATCGCCTTCCCGGTGATGTGCTATTGTTAGCCAACATCAAATCCTCTCGAAATGTTGTCAACAGACGTCTTCTGCGATTAACCATAAATGGTGTTGTATTTAGATTCTGTGTGAGTCTCGCGTCTTTGTAGGCATCAAAAACCTTCCCTCTCCAAGAGTAGACAAATATGGATAAATTGGAAAAATAGAAAATAAACGTGGTTTCATAAACTGCTTTAGCAGAACTGCCATTGCTCTCAATCTTTGGGAGTGTACGTTTAAAAACTAAGCATTAAACGACCGATCTAGTTGTTTTTGTTTGTTTTTTGGTTGGGTGTTTCTAGAAATATTTTGTTGTTAAAACTTTCGCACAAATCAATTATTATCCCTCAAAGACGACACTGTATTTTATAGTGCAACTAGCCTCTGCTGCGCTGTCATCGAGCGACGCAGCAGAGGTTGGTTGCACTATCTCTCCACGGGGTGCGCTGCCGCCGGGACCCAGATGCGCTCCGGTAGCAAACCGAAACTTAAAAACCCGTCGAATTTGTGCGGTTTTTCAGAAAGCCGTAAAATGCTTCGCGTGCCTTCTATCGTTCTGCTATTTGTTGATTTAGTGCTTTTCGACGATGCTGAGCAATTTTCTAATCGAAACCATGCCCTTAAGCACAATATTAAAAAAAGTTAATTACGCAAAAATAGTTAACAACTTAATTATCTCGGACTTTAATCATTTTTCTAAATGAGCCCCTGGCCCAGGACCAAAGCGACACAAGCCTTTTTTCATTGCGATGAGTAGCTTTCGCAGGAGCGATTCGGCCTGAGTTTTCTGAAACACCCTGCATATTTGTTAACGAATTTTGTTAAGTTTTTTATTTGTTTTGTTTTGTTTTTTAGATTTTTTTGAATCTACGCTATATTTATGCAGCATACTCAGCTGCTATAATATCCTTGTTAGAATGGCAGCATTGAAAAATATTCAAAAGTTTATAAATGTTGGAACGGTGTAGTATACGAGCGAGGCATTTGTAGTACACATTGACCACAGTGTACTAGTGACGCTGTCCGTGTAGGTGGCAAAATTTCTAAGCGCTTTTTTTGTTACACCAGTCAGTAGATACTGAGAATGCCGCCCGCATAGGTGGCAAAATGCTACGAGTATTTCCTTAACCCTACTGTGTTATGGAAACTTCTTCATTACGTCATAATCCACTCACGTTCTCCTGTCGTAATCAGTCACCCCAATTATGAAAACGGTCAGAATATCTACAGCAGCGTTTATTAAGCAGCTTATTCAACGGTCCGACCAAAGGCCAACGTCTAGCTGTATTCCATTAGCCACTCGCCCTTCTTACGCAACTGCGAGCACTCGACCAATCCCCCGGCCGCTAGCCAATCCATGTAAACTTACGACATTCTTCGATTGACTCGTCCCGACAAATCCGGAATAATCCCCGGCGTTTCCTCGACGTCGAGTCACAGGCAACGTTCTCCAGAAAAGAGCGAGCCGCTTCGGAGTAGGAACGGGAGACTCCAGGCGCCGTTTCAATTTTTGCAACAAATCCCCAAGTAACATCCTCTCCCTTGTTTCCAAAAGCCCGTAGCTGTTGGCAACCGCAGCCTCAGGGTAGCGTGTATATATATCTTTATATATATATATGTATCTACATCACACACCAGCTCCGCCAACTCCCGCAGCTACGGCAATCGTGCAGAGAGCTCGTCCGGGGCTCAGACTGCCGGGGTATATGTGCTCCGAATCGCTAGGGGCGTTCGTAATGAGATTGCAGCGCTGCCGGCGTTGCCTCCCCCGTTGACTGAGGGGATTTGCTCGGACGTCGGGGCAAAGCCTGGCGAAGGGTCGGGGGAAAACAGCGGCAGTTACTACGTCAAGGAGAAGGAGGGAGACGAGAAGGAAGACGGCATTTCACGCACTACAATTTCACCAGAAATGCTCGTGAGTGGTGGCGGCCGCTCCCCTCCTTTTAGGCTACTTTCACGGATGAACCGCAATTGAATAGTCAAACAGGCTTCATTTTGCAATTAGGAGAAACCGTTTTAGCTCGACGTATACCAGTGTAGACTCACTGCGTCCTCTTTTTTCTCCTTCTCAACCCTCACTCTCTCTGTCTCTCTCTCCTTGTTCTCAAGTTTGCTCGAGAGAATGAGTGCAATCTCTCTCTTTCTCTGTGTGTCTGTGTGCGCATGTGTGTATGGCTTGGTGCACGCTCTCGTGTTTATAACAGTGTACATGATTGGAACTGGAAGTGCCCGGGTGTGCGAGCGGGTGAGTATGTGGAGAACGCTGGAATTCCGAGCAACCATGTTTCGTCGGACTCGAGTGAGTCCCCACGATCGCCTCCGGGGCGAATTTTCTCGCGGCGGGAGTTGGAGGGTACGATGTTGGGGAGCCAAACGAGAGGTCGGGAGTTTCGAGGGAAGAGAGGAAAAAACGAGAGATTATTGACCTCGGCCGGAAAAAGAAACAGCCCGCGGGTGGTCTTCCGAGTTGTTTCGTTTGTGGAGCGGTCGTTAAAAGTAGGCTTCAGGAACGTTTTTGTTATCGTGTTTATCTCTGTGCGAAATATAGGTTAGGGATCATGTGTTCACTGCAAACCCGAAGAGCGGGATTACTTGATTGAGTGTTTTATAAGAAGCTATAAGTTGGAGTGAATCGATCAGCACGAATTACCCTATGATTGTGTCATCTTCACACACAGAGAAAAAGCAAAAATATTTATTTTATAGCTGTCTCGTAATCCCATGATATATAGTTATAATAAGTTCTACAAAGTGGTAAGCGATCCCTGTATTAATTTTAACATTGTAGATATCAACACAAATATCGTGCATTAATATTGACACAGGCAGGATAGTGGGGAATATGTTGGGAACAACGAGAATAGCAAACAAGACAGCGTACGTGTTCTCCTGTCAGGCCCTAGTCTCTTTAATTTAAAAAAAAAAATAGATGTTTAAAGCTGTATGTGGGTGCCATTCTCATGTGTATTCTTTTATCGAATCCTACTACTCTTATGTATGAAATGTGTGCCGAGCAGCCTCATGCAAAGACAGCCCCGATCATAATGAGCACATTCATTTAAGTTCGATTAAACATACGAAACAATACTACCGACAAACATTAATCAGCACCATTGCTTGTGCCTATACCTAGAGGAATTGAGATCAAGAATGACACTTTCGATATTGTAGGAATCGGAAGGCTGCTTCAAAGCTTTGCGTAGTCATGTGGTAATGTATGGGACACGGTATGCGTTTGTATGTCTTCTAAAAAATTATAAGATTAAATGCGCGTCGTCAAGTTAAAATTGCCATGGCTCATCTTTCTGTCTCAAAAACAAATATCCTAATTTTGATTTAAAACGTATTTTTATAGACGAATGGAAGCAGAATCAAGGTAGTGGAAATTATGAAAACTAAGTGTTCTAACACAAAATCGACTGACTACATGACCCGGTAGCTTCAAGCATACGCATTAAAATAATCTCACTGTTGTCAGTCTTCTTTGACTGTGTTAGATAGAAAAACGAGTTTTAAAACGAAACCAAATTAAAATTGGTGTGATTTTCTGAATAATATCCAATGAAACGTGGTACAACCGGTTCGCTATTCAATCAAACGTGGCATGACCAAGAATCAATGCACGCAGAAACATCCGTCATGGACGCAAGAGTGAGATACAATTCAGGAATACGCCAGAAGCTTTTCTTTCAACCTCAACACCGTCAGCTAATGCAATGCGCAAATAGTCCGCAAACGGGACGTGCACCGAGGTTACATAAATCATTACAACTGCCTTTGGTTTATCCGCGGAGCGACTCGATTCTGTGGCTAGTCTGTGGTGGTGTTTATTCGGCTCATTTTTAACTTGCCTCCGACTATAGATCCTTCCAATAGTCGCCTCACGCACGCCGCCGTCATTGCCTATTGTGCTGTATAGGACACGGTCCAAAAATACGCTGTAGGTATCTTGTGCGGAGTAGCGGACGCCTCGCATCCCTCCATAGCCCAGTGACATAGCATTTTTTACGCATCGGTGAAGCGCTGGCGAGGTGTATGGCCCTCCCACAGTCCTGTAGTATAGGCACGTCTACTACGGTGCTTGAACGCTTTTCCGAGGGGTGTTCAGAGTACTACTCCTCGCATGCATAGAAAGTAGTCCCGAAGTGGCAACAAATGTCGTTACAAAAGCCATGCTGTCAGATGTCGCGACCCTGGTGATTGGTCATAGAAGTTCGGGCAAAAAGCACGAGCAAACGCGAGTGGCGCTGTCATCGCAGTGGACCAACTCCTGACTGCCGAAGCTCCCGTGGACTGTCAAGCTGGAGAAGGACTTGAAGCAGACCATTCCACATCCACCACCGCTGCTGGGACGCCACCAGGATTGCGGCCGGCAGCGGTGTGACACTTTTATGACGTCATAAGGCGGAAATCGAGGGACCACTTTTCTGGGCGCGGTAAACACGCCAGCAGAAACGCGTTCCAGGCACCATAATTGCACTATGCATAGGCACTGACCGAAATCGAGCGGCATCGCCTTGGGCGCCATCGGAACCGCAGCATCCTCGTTGCTCAGGAAGCGGTCCTCGTCCTCCTCCGCGTAGGTGGCGCTGCCGTCGCGGTTGTGCCGAGACTGGAAATAGTGAAAAGGGGGAATGCGTTAGCAACGTTTCCCTCGGGGACAATGGCGTGGCATTATAAATCGGGATCAATGAACTATACAACAACTGACTGTCTTGCAAACAGTATAGACAGGGCAGTCACAACAGCATAGACACCACGGTTAATGGCGTGCGTGTCATTTTAACTGTTACATACGGGAAAACTGGTTGTGGGATATATTTTCTTCACTTACTTTATCCCTAACTCTCTCTCTTTCTCTCTCTCTCTCTCTCTCTTTTCGAATATTGAGCATATGAAAGGTTAGAATGGCGCTTGAGAGAGCACCGGTATGACGATCTGCTGACAGACGTTTCTTGGAAATCCTAAAAACATTTTGCAGGAAACCCAACATTGCACTCCCCAGAGCGGACCATGGCTACCCGCGTGTACCACATTCCCTCGGAGCACGCACATAGGCTGTCGAATTCATCAACGGAATGATGGCAGTAATTCACGGGAATGAGATAACGTCTTCACGTGACAATGCTATCTCCGCAGATCTAATATATATATATATTTATATACCACATTCCCTCGGAGCACGCACATAGGCTGTCGAATTCATCAACGGAATGCTGGCAGCAATTTACGGGAATGAGATAACGTCTTCACGTGACAATGCTATCTGCGCAGATCTAATATATATATATATATATATATATATATATATATATATATATATATATATATACTTTTTTTTAAGAATCGCGTTTTTGCTTTTGTTATTCGCTACTAAGTTGTTTTTCTTTTGCATTTTTATGCAGGATTTGATGATCGGCTGCATGGGCCTTCTGCAGGAAAGTATAAAAGCAAGAGCCTGGTTGATAAGTAATGCCACTACTACTCGAGCCAATACGGTAGCAGATTTGTCACCATTCATTAAAATTTAAAAAAAAAAGAAAAGAAACTCGTATTGCAGCGAAAGGAAAAAAATATTAAGAAAATAGATATGTCCAGCAGGCCGTGGAGGAGTTTTAGCAAGATCAAATAAAATATTAATTTCCCAAAAGTGATTTGCCTACTGTCTTTCACAGTCGGGCTACGTCAGACTTGCAGCGCACTTGGCCAATATGGAATCTACGCGAAAGTGTGCCTATGAGTGCAATGTGGAACACATGAAACGACTCGTTACAACCGTCGCGCAAGCTTGACTTGTCGGTACTGTACGGGGTCTTTCTCTAGAACAAATGAAAAGTCAACTTGACAGCGGCAGAACGCTCGCGATATAATCCCGTTACGAAGATAGACCCTATAAACAAAGAAGAAAAAGGAAACTGCAGCGTTTAACCTAACAAAACACAAACAATATACTCATTGCGTTGCAACTTATTATGTGCTGAAAATAGGCAGATTTTTTCTGCAGACCACGCAAAGACCGAAAAATGCTGAATCGTGGCCACAACTGCCGCGCAGCTACTAAACTATATACCATAAAAGCAAACTGGTGTCCAGAGGGAGTGTAAACAAAACTACGGAAGTTAAATTTTTCACGCAGCAAATAAAACTGTATGTCCACATTCCTGCCAAACAAAAAGAAAACATATCACGGCGGTGAATTGATAAAGTTGTTAGCATTTACAAGACCGCCAGATAGTAAGAAAAGAAATTGCAGTTGCACCAGGATGGTGAGCAAAGGAAATTTGAAGATAACTGCTCCAGCACAGAAAGTACGTTTGGTTTACAACGTTTGTCTCGTCTAGTGCCTTCTATGTATTCTGTTGTTGTTGTTGTTTTTGTTATTGTTGTTGTTGTTGTTGTTATTGTTGTTGTTGTTGTTGTTGTTGTTGTTGTTGTTGTTGTTGTTGTTGTTGTTGTTGTTGTTGTTGTTCGTTGTTGTTGTTCGTTGTTGTTGTTCGTTGTTGTTTGTTGTTCGTTTTTCGTTGTTGTTGGTTGTTCGTTGTTGTTGTTGTTGCTGTTGTTGTTCGTTGTTGTGGTTCGTTATTGTTGTTTGTTGTTGTTGTTTGTTGTTGTTGTTTGCTGTTTGTTGTTGCTGTTGTTGTTCTTGTTTGTGACAAGTATGTTTCGGTCATGTGATTTACATTAGTTGCCGTCAATTTATCGCCGCGATTGACTATCTGCGTTTTTGGGGACAAGTAGGTGGAAGGATGTATTTATGCCACACGAAACTCATGTAGATCCATGCTAAAGCAACTAAAGTTGTTAGATATATATAAAAAATAGAGAAAATCTCGGAAACTGCAGCATTTATTTCTTGTTAGGAAGCTATGAAGTGTTTTGAATTAAGGACGCCTTTGCGCACACCACACAGAACAAGCTACGTCCTATAAAAGGGAGGTGTAATCTAAAAACATTCTAGGAGGCTTTACAGTTACGAGAGCAGCGCTAATACGTTAAGAGTACGACAATCCGAATATAGCGAGGTGCTTCCCAAAGTTTCACAAATAAAGGCACAACACAATTTACCCAACGATACATTTTCCACGCGAGCGAGCTAATGTTTAACTTCAGGAATTAAAAGCTTAAATTACACTGTTCTACGCGTTTAATGCCCGGAATATAAGCAAACACGCTCGTTAAGCCCTAGTAATAAAAATCCACAATAATCCTAGGACAGGAAAAAGTTACGACAGGCATGCACCAGAGCCCTAACACGTTGTCATGCCAGAGAGAGAAAGAGGCCCTGTGTGCTAGCCAGTGCGGAAATATCGTAGCAGCCCCGAATGCCTCGCCAGGATGACAATGCCGGCCCGTTGGGAGTAGAAGCGTCAGTATTTACCTTGTAAAACCGTTTCAGCGGCGCGCAAAATTACTGACGAAAAAGACCAATCAAGACCGCCGTCATCACCGCGGACGTCATGAGGTAAATGGAAGACATAAACATAAAACACTCTTCTTTTTTTTTCCCCCGTTCGAAGCGTACTCGGGCGTTCCGATATCGCTGTCCGTATCCGCTTCGAATGAAATCATTGCTTGTCGCTCCGCTCTGACGTCTGCAGCAACCGTGCACGGTCGAGAAATTAAACGACCCCATCTGGAGAAAAAGGGCCTCGGCGGCACAAATCGGCGGTACACATTACGCGCCGTGTCGTCTTCGAAGGCAATATAAACGTCACGGGAGAGCTTTCGACGGTACTCGTGACTGGGTGCCAGTTCTCAGCCTGTTCTCGGCATGCCTCGGGTCTCGATTTCTTTCTCGGCCGACTTCTCTCTCTCGTCGTCTTGTTAACAGCGGATTGCAATCGAGTTTTATCCGCGATTCCTTCTCTTTTTTTTGAACTCTTATTTTTTTCCGTTTTTCACTCGTTTGTCTCGCTTCTTGTCTTTGGTCTGCCTTAGTTTTTCACCGGTAGTAGCGCTTGCTTCGCTGATTCCCGACGTCGTAGAAATTCTTTTCTCCTCGTGTCACAACTCCACCGGATTGCCCCGTTATTTTTCTGCCTTCTTCGAGATTATCTTTCCGACTTTCGGCGCGACGCGAGAGTCGTTTTTTGTTTTGTTTTGTTTTTTGTTTTCTTTTTAAATCGACCAATTTTGTTTCGCGGTGTCCTTTTGTTTTCGATGCTGGAAGCACCTTTCTATTAACCGTGATTTCGTGATTTCGGAAAGAGTGAAAACGCCGAAAGCATAGCTTTCAAATGGCTTCGCGTCCTGTCGATATCAAGAAAGAGAAGATTCATATTTCTCGCGTGGAGGCTCGAAGAGCGTCTGCTGCCAACGCTGTAGATGGGAAACTTGACGAAGGAGTGGGTTGTTTCAGTGCATCACGCAGCATTAATTGCGCCGTCATATTCTCGTATAATAGGGACTTTTAGCAAACCGTTACGGTTTTCCGCGTACCCCACCACCTCCGAAGCATGCTTTTAAGCGCGCGCTCCGCGCTCACGGTATCACCCGGGAGCACGCTTAAAAGCATGCTTCAAAGGTTCCGGTATTACGGTAATGCGGTACGCGGAACACAGTAACGGTTTGCGAAAAAGCCCTTCTATGACGACCTAGCTATAAGCAATCTCAAGGACCGCGATTACAATGGCACAATTGTAGGCGAACGTGTAATTATAGGGGGCACTAAATGTGTCCGGAGCATTGAGGATTACGACAAGACACGAACTCTGAGTCGGTGGATTAAGTGCTAGGTTGGATGCATCCGGAGTCCTTACTAAATGCAGAGGAACGAAGAAATAAATTATCCAAAAGATAAGTGGTTTATTATATCGCTTTAATTTTATTTATTCGGCATCTCTTAGTCCAGCTCAATTCCAACATCCGTAAACGAATCCTTTGGATTTTAAATCTTGTATGCGTGCGTATTTACGTATTTTGCGTAAATACATTAATCAAAACAAACGTTTAACAATTTCCGCAGTAATTTTATACGGGATTAAAACATAAATTCTGACTTTATGTGTATTTCTTTTTTTTATTATTATTATTATTATTGCAATCGATTCTGGCAGGGGAGGTTTTCATATCACGGAAAACTTAATTTGCTCCTTGGAATTTTTAGATATATAGAGCCAAAGGTCCCAAAACGTCATGAGTAAACGAAACAGAGATTTTGTAAAGGATGCCGTGACACGCGCAGCCTGATAAGTGGAGCTAGTACCCAGATCGCTAAACACGCCCCCGCCGCTTGGCTTGCGCCCGTCAATCAACTGGTGGCATATCTACTTTATCATAAGCGCGTGTGATAGGTAGGAGGTTCACGGCACTCCTTTCGTTCAAGCCACTCCCTCCGCGATTTCGTCGGCTACTTCGTGGAAGCCTCGGTATTGAGATTTTCGACAGAAATCGCTGCTCCATTGATTCCACTCTACCGAAACACTTCGCCACCATGTACCAAGAAACTCTCCTTCAACGCATCATAGCAAGCCTTCCAGAAGAGGAATAGTAGAGACGCCAGGACTTTCGTAACGAGCACCGGACCATGCGTGTAGAAATAAAGTTTATTCTCTTTTTCTCTCTCTCCATTGACTCGAAGTACTCCAAATGCGCGGTCACGTGGTTTTCGGG